CGCCGCGGCCAGGCCCAGCAGGGCTGCTCCTCACCTTGCGCTGCTCGCCCCGGTCCCGCCAGCTCCGCCAAGCGAGCGGAGCCATCGGGGCAGGGCGCTGGCCCCCGCGTCCACGCAGCTCTGGAGGTACGAGCGGGCCGTTAACAGCCTGTCCATCCAACCGTCTCCCCGGAGCCGCCAAGCGCCTTCCGGGGAGGTCTCTCCTCTCCCGCCCCAGCACCAAGGAGGCTGCTGGTGGTGTGTCCTCCTGGGTTCATCCCTGTCCATCTCGTGAATGTTCTCCAGTGTTCTCCAGCCAACGTGACGGAGGGGCCAGGGGCCGGAGGACCAGCACCTTCCCGCGCCTCCGCGGGACGCGGTGGTTGGCACCCTCAGCAGTGCCAAGGCCCATCAGCCACAGGTCTCCATCTGCTCTGGTCTCAGCAGGACCAGCACCATGAGCCCATCAAAGCAAACCCACTTAGCCATATTTAACCAAACACTTACTTTCCATTTTATTCAATAATTGCCTTTAATACTAAAATGCATTAGATGCTCAAAGCAGAGAAAAGAAAATCACATTGAGGTGGAAAACAAAGTTCTCATTAGGTGAAAAAAAAACAACGTGGCAGGTACACCATTTTGAAACAGAATCGTAATAATTTAATAAAGCCGCTTTATCATCTTCATAAAATAGACAGAATGGTGATTCTTTTTTTTTTCCATTTTGTTGTTTACAATGATTCAATCACTGTGAAAATGTACATAACATACATATCAGCATATACAACAATTTATTCTTCATATAATCAGCAACGGAGACACCATGATGAAACGTACCGCACTTAAGTCCCACTGAAACCCTGCCTTGTTTTGGCAGGTAGACTGTAATGGTGTCATCAGGCTAGTTTTCCTGCTACGGGAGCTCGTAGTTGTAAGGTGTGACGCCTTCTGCAACTAATACCTTTAGCATTGGAATAGTGCAAGGAGGTATTTGTTGCTGAAAACTGGTTTGCATTAGGTCAGCTCTTGGAGTTTAAAGATTACATCCCAGCTTAGATCAGCTGAACATCGGCTGGTGCCAATAACGAATCTCACCAGGGCTTGCAGTGGACTTGGCTGGGTTTTTCCCCGAAGGAACTGCAACGCACAAGTTGGATAAAAGATTACCTATAGCTGCAAAGGCAGCTGTAGCAACAAGGTCATCAATTTTCCCCAATGACGGACAAACGTGTTTCCATTCATAATCAGAAATTTTTTTTCCCCAAGAATAATTTCAACACAGTAGTCAGACAGTGTGTTCTTCACAAAACACACAACTTGTTTCCTATTTAAAAAAAAAAAAGGAAAGTAACTCACTTCTGCACAATGTGTGATCCACAGGCCACCTCCAGCTTCACAGTAAAACAGGGAACTGCAACCACCTCATCAGGACAACGCGCCAAGCACTCGGGGATTATTTTTTCCAACTGCCAGTCTCCCCTCCCTCACCCCTCCTGCACCCCTGCTGCGTTAGATCAGTGCAAAATCGAAACCCCGGCCGTCACGGACTTGGGCAGGCAGAAAAGGGAGACCCCAGGAGCGAAAGGACTCTCTCCGCTTGTTCCTCGGAGCAGGGAAGCGCGTCACCCACTCGCTCCCGGCCCCGCGGGGCTCCGGCGCCGGGGCGCAGGGCAGCGCTGGCGGCCGCAGCAGCCAGGACGTCTCAAAATCGGGTCCTCGTCATACTCGGTACGGACATACTACGCAGTTGCTGCTCCTCTGGATAAATAGGGGAGCAGAGCAAGCTTGCCCGAAGGAAACCAACGGACACAACTGATTTTCCTAAACCAAATCTGAGGACAGGTTTGAATTATTAATGATCCCGCTAATTATATCTTAAACCATTAAAAGTGCCTACACCCTGCAGCCTTTACATTTTTGCATGGCCAGTTTTGATGCAACTATTAAAAAAAAAAAAAAAGAAAAAGGAAAGAGAGACTGCGATTCGCCCAGGAGCGCTGAACTCCTCTCGGATGACAGAGAGGGACAGTGACAGAAAGAGCAAAACATTCGGAAGAGGGAAGGGAGTCGAGGGCCCTTTCCCGGCTCTGCTCTCGGCCCTTCGCTCTGCAACGCGCAGCAGCGACGTGTCAGGGACGCGCCGCCCAGTCGTTCAGCATCCCTGGCTGCGGCGCAGGTCAGGCCAGGCAAAACTGTTGTTTAAACGATTTTCTTGGAGGCATAAGGGTTTACTGACCTCTTTAATGCCCCCTTTTAATACGGAATTATTTCACATTCTTTCTCGGCTGTGTTTTTATTCAGAGTGGCAAGGAACGTTTCCTCTGGGTAAATTAGAGAAATGTTT